CAAAGACGTGATAGTTGTGTCAATTCAAATAAAGATATCTCTTTATATTTTTCATTAAAATCTTAAGAAAAAAAAATATATATATATATATATAAAAATCAATTACGAGACTAAAAATCAGTTCCAGTTCATTGGATAGTTAAAGTCAAAATGCAAAGTGAAATTGCAGATAGATTTATATTTTGCTATTGTATAAAGATCTCAAAATTCTTTATAAATCCTTTTTGTTAAAATAAAATCAAGATGAAAATCTTGCAAATTATGATATTATTGCTGTGATTGTTTCCGCACTTAACTCTCTTTTATAAATACTTGAAAGATCTCCGAGAATATCTATATCATATAAAAAAGCTTCTCTTTCAACTGTTAGATTGCTATTCCTTAAAATTAGAATATTATGCAAACGTTATCAAGACTTATTTTTGTATCAAAATCGTCATTCGAAAGAGGTATGTTGTAATTGTCTGAAGTGGCAACATTTCCATTAAGCTAATGAAGATTAAAATAAACTAATTGTGCATGTTACGTATTAAAAATCACATTTACATTAGACTTGTCTGTAGTATTTTGATTTCACAACGAATGCTAATGTGTATCGTGTTATTAAAAATGTACATACAAATATTTATACACATACATATACATATACGTGTTTGTGCGAGCGCGCGTGTGTGTCTGCAGCATACAGGAAAAAGTAACAACACTTTTCAACATGCATCTTAATGTGAAATGCTAATGTGTAACGTGTTATTAAAAATGTACATACAAATATTTATACACATACATATACATATACGTGTTTGTACGAGCGCGCGTGTGTGTCTGCAGCATACAGGAAAAAGTAACAACACTTTTCAACATGCATCTTAGATACTGCTGTTTTGATGACTGTCTCGTAACTTTTCACCTTTTTTTTCGCGAACGTGCATATGGAATGCTATTTTTCTAATATGATGACTTGGTAGACACCACCAAGGTATTTTTACATTGCACAAACGAAAACCGCGTCTCGAGGAGAGAGACGCCTCGTTTCTGATTTCGTGGTCGCAGTGTTATCGAAGGTCGCGATTTCTCGCTCAAAATGTCAACGTGCACGTCCAAAGTCCGACGAGATCATGAAAACTCGAATCGTATTACGAAATAAGCCGAGTGGCTGATAATTCACACGTTATCGCGCTCGACGGCAAGCGTCTCAACGATGATAATTCTTGTCATTGTGACACTACATATACATGTTTCTCGTGTTAATAACAAGATGCATCGCGTCTCATAATAATCCGCGATAATTCACTGTTTATTGATTTTCAATTAGTGAGTGAGGAAATTTATTTTCGTTGCAGCTTTGGAATTACGACGACGACTATTATAGCTTTTATATTTTTATATTTTTCGAATAACAGAAACGAAAGAAAAAAAAGGAAAATCAAAGTATTAGTATACTCCTTAGTTCACACAGTTGGATCCTGCATATTTTTTTTCCTCGAAAAACTATGAGCTAAATATATGCTAAAGATGTTTAAGTATATGTAAGAATATCACTTAATAATTTATATATACATATAATATATATTTCTTAAAATGATGAAAATTAACTCGGGACACAAACGACTCATTGTGTGTAGTTAAGGACTGGAAAATCATCGTGTACAACCGTTTCTATCAATATGATTTAATTTTAATCTCGGTTCAACTAACTCTTCTCATCTTTTTCTAATTCTTAGACTGAGAAAAAGGTGAAGAATAAGTTAAACCGAGATTAAAATTAATCTACAATGATGGAAAAGGGCATTAGGGTTAAGTTTCAATTAAGTATGAGCCTTTGGCCGATTATTCATAGTCTATCCTTAATTAAGACTCTTATAACTATGAAGTACGATTTTAAATTGTCATAAACCGTATCAATTAGAGATCACATTATTTAAAACGGTCTTGAAATTAGAACAGACTATGAATACGGATCAGAGAGCCATATTAGTATCTTAAGATATTATTCAAGACGATGTTGAGATAAATAACGGATTATACGAATACCGGCTTTTATCTCTTGAAATCATAGAATCAGAAGATGTTAATAGCGCGATGTTCTTAGGCTCTATCGGTATATAGTATATATACCGTAAATAGTATGGTTTGTATGCGTAGGAAAAGATTCAAGACGCACAAGTACATTTCGGAGGAATGATTTACGTGAAAACCCGATTGCGGAGAAATACGGTGACGGGGTGATGGTTGCGAATAAATAACGGTGTTTAAACAGGACGACCGTCTCGCGAAAATGATGAGGTCGCCCCGTGGCTGTTGCGGCCCGTGACTCCGGTGGAATCCCGTGTTTTGCGCACGGAAGGGGAGAATGCAGCTGCACGGGCTGCACCGGAGATTAGTCGAACGCTTGAACGTGACGTCAATGGCTTGTCTTTGCGAAAGTCTCGAGAGGGATCAGGGAGGTAGCGAAACTCAAGGAGAGCCATTAAATGGTTAAATTCTCTCCATGGGAGCACCATTCTCGCACATTTGCCACGCAAGTGTTTCACCGGCGAGATCCAAAAAACTCCTCCTTTCTTAGTCGATAAGTAGAATATTACAACACAAAAGTTGCACGTGTAACATTAAAAACTGTGTAAATAATGTATTGCGGAAAATGTTACATACCATGAAACGTTAATGATAATCTATTTGGTTGAAAGCGTTGATCAGGGATTTTTCAGAGATGCGATTATTTGCACGGTTGGGAATCGCGGTCTCATGATTTCGCGCAAAGCAAGTCCAGGACAGGAAGGTTCATTCTCCCCTCCCGAGAGGTGCATCGTTCTTAGATTCCATCAGTATATAGATAAACATTCTCTTTCACTTCTCGGCTCTGCCTTTCGAGAGGCTCTCCTCTCGGGAGAGAATAAGTACTTATATACGCTTTTGCCGTGCTCGCTCGTATCTCTTTGGAGCTCCCATGCCCATTCTCGCGTGCTCGTGTGCTCGTGCGTTCACGTGCACGTGCGATCAAAGTGGGAGAGGTATTGTGTCTCTACGTTGTCTGCTGAGAGGATGCGCGCGAGCGCGGTGTGTCTGTGGGCATAATCGTTTATTTCGCGTCGACCTTTGCGGGGCACTACGTCAAAATGTCAGATGCGACCCCGCCTGAGCGCGAGGGAAGATGTACTGGGAACGTTGTAATGGGCTTACAAAGCGTAACAAACTGATGCGAGGTCAAACACACGACGGGCAATAAACACACGTAGAGATAAATGGGCCCTTAAGGTGCACCACACCGCGCCGTACGTATCTCTCCGATGCGATGCGATGCGATGCCATGTTTTGTTTGCCGCGAAATGAGCGTCGACGATCCGAGGCCGCGATACCCGAAACTCGCGCTTGTCTCGCTCGTTTTCAAACATCAGCCTTATTATTCTCCTTCGTAAACGCTGCTGTTTGCAACAACAATTGTTTCTCTTATTTAGGTGCAAACGCTTTAACGGATTTATTTATATAGATATAGTCTATTTTTTTTTATTTACAGATATATATATTTCTAGATATATTATATACATTTTTCCTGGATATTAGCATTAAGACTTTTTTTCCACGCCGTAAACGTATTTTTTTTTTTTTTGAGCTTTGTATCGACTTTCTCTTTATGAGAATTTATGCGAACATTCCGCAACGTTCATAATTCAACTCTAACTTTTATACTTTAGACTCTGTCGTATATCCTTGTTAATAATATTTCTCGTTGTCAACATAAATACAGTTAAATATAATTGATTAAAGGTAATTTTTATCTTCTTTGTTAATTTTTTAATTTCGTCAAGGATGTATGGGTCACGTCTTAAGACATCACAAAAAATATAAAAATTTCATAAATTGTTGCGTCTGAAAAATTCTTTGTGTAAAATTGGAGCACAATTATCTTACTGGTTTAAAAATTGTTCAATTTTTTGCTTCATCCTCATTCTTATATGTAAAATCGTATTCGATGAGAAAATAACATTAAGAATTAAATCAAATAAATAACTGTAAAATTGATATGAATTTGTAGGCAAGCTCCATTCGCGAGTAAATTTACGAGAGCACTTGAAAAATTCCAGACGCTACGGAAATAATAAAAAATAATAAAACCTTTGGTTTTTCTAATTGTGTAAGGTATTTTAACGCCAGTCTTGAAATATGTACTTGAAGGTTTTTGGATTACTTTAGATTACACACCCTGAGCCCTAAATATTACTTGAAAATTAAAAAAATAAAAACTCTTAATTACCTTTAAAAAGCTTACCTTTATTAATTTAAAGTAAATTTTTCGAAGAGCGCAACCATTGTACTAGTAGTGAAAACATTCTCAAGTATCGAAACAGTCGCACCTCCCGGACGATCGCCATGAGCGACTCGCGAGTCGCGCGAGGGGCAATAAACACGCTGAAAGATAAACGGGCGGCCCGTGCTGCGCGAGACCGGGTCTCGGGAAAAGTATATCAATATACTTGATATATTGACGCGCGGCAGTTTTCGCTTTCGATATGAAGAACAACGTATCATCCGGACAACCTAACCAAAGATGATTCGGTTTATTGCCTCTCCCCTTTGTACATTTATAACCTACACTACGCTCGCGTTTATTTTACGACCCAGCCGCAAACAGATATCGAGGCTCACCTTACTCATTACCGCGCGCTATCTCCTGTCGAAATTATTGCTATCATAGAGACAATGTGCTTGGAAACTTACTGCGAGAAATCTGACGTGATTATCCGTTATTATTTATTATCCATATGTCGAGAGGATCCGACCTTCGCGAAAGTAATTGAATAATTGAATAATCCGGGGTGGACAGTCCGTGCTCTATGCTCTTTGACTAGCTTTGACTGCACGATGTGAGAAACGCGCTCGCAAACGTGTCTCGCACGTCAGAGAGCGGGCGGGCGTCTTGGCATAGCGCCCCGCGTTTTCTCTTTTCTACATACTCGTATTTTTCTTGCAAGCTAATCGTACTGATGTTTGATGTTCTCTTTCAGATGCCGCAGACGGTGCCGACAGCGGCCGGGTACTCGCCGTCATTCGACTACGGCACTTTTCAGTTCGATTTGTCTCTCCTGCCGGACGATTACAGCCCGACCGGCCGCGACGCCGGCGGCCAGGCCTGTTTGAAAAGTTCGCAGATCAAGCAGGAGGCACGCTCGCCACGCCCGGGATCGCCCACGATCTACCAGAGCCCACCGTATCCAACCGGCGAGTTGCCCTTGTCACCCAACTACTCGCACGAGGGTTCCTCGCCGGGATATCCGACGAGTCCCTATTACGTACCCAGGAGCCCTCAGAGCGCCCAGTTTTACCCCACCAGCCCGGAACCGTCCGCGGCAAACGTCAAGCAAACGGTCAAGAGGGAGAAGAGCCTCGATCTTTTGGCTATTCTTCAGGAATCCAGGTAGAGATACTATATAGGCTCTATATTAAAGCCGTTGTATACCTATATATTGATTAAAAGTAAAAGTAAAATGCAAATACAGATTTTACTTAGCAGCACAATGAATTAAATCTATTGAAGATTTATTGTGTACAACGGCTTGATGCGTAATGGATCGCGCATTTTCGCATGATTACAGACTCTTAGCCGAGAGTCTGGGTTACCGCGAGGACTCAACCGACTGCACAGTGCCCTGTACTCCGCCTCGAAGCGAGGAGGATATCTATAACAGTCTCGACGTCGACTTCCTACCCCGGAAGAAGGAGAACCCCGGCGTGCAGGGGCATCCGTTGCTGAAAGAAATCCTTTTCAAGGAGGAACCGCGATCCGTTTCTAGCAACAACGGTTCGTCCTCTTTATCATCCTCCTCTTCGTCTTCGCCTAGTCCCTCGAGCGAATTTGAGGGTAGTTCAGCGTTGCACGAACTCCTCTTCAAGGGCGCCGCCCTTCGTAAGGATCTTGTGGTAATTTCCAAGACGAGTCAGCTTAAGGTGGAACGAGGATCGCGAGAAGAACTGGCGAATCCTTTGCGAAAGGAGGAAGAACTGTTCAAGGACGGGCAGAAGAGCGATCATCAGCTGCTGCGAGAAGTGCTGAGGGATACTAGCTTCCAGAGGAAGTACAATCTAAGACCTGTCGATCTCGGCGGCGTCGGCACTGGTTTCGTCGAGGACATGGAGACCGGCGAATGCGTCGGCGACCTCGCCCGCGAACAGCTCGAGCCCGTCCTCAGTCTGGCTATTCAGCAACTACAGAAGGACTTTGACAACACCTGCGTGGCGCTCGGCATTCACCCAGGTGAGCCTTCTTGAAAATTAAGGAAGCCTCCGTGTTTAATTACAATTTTCTGAAATCATCTTCTCTTGTTCATATTTCTTTAAAGAATTTAGAGAAAATGCACTGAGCATTTTTTTACAATGCAAATCAAATTAATTGAGACAGCACAAATTATTCGACCACAATTTGCGTATTCACATGCATCATCATAAAATCGTTATAAAATCCATACGTATGTATATTATTATAATCGTAAATACCGGATAATGAATTAAAGAGCTGAAATGATAAAAGATATGATATAAAATCATACATATCTTACGATTATCGATATTATCTCGCTAAAGATTAATTGCAAGTATAATGGAGAGTAAGTGCGTATGTTATATTCTTATATAAGCACGCCATTTCTATAATAGTCGCCGTGACAATGACTGTAATTACGTGTGCGCGTTAATTATTATTATTATCAACCTTATGGTAATCATCAAGTAAGATTTATTCTTGCGTTTCTTAAGGTTTTATCATTACATCTTTTGCTAAGATTATCTCGACAATGTAACTCGAGAATTATCTCGTATATTCATGATTTTCGATGATGTGTTTCGTACGGTAGAATGTAGATTGTAGCGTCAAGTCTTATTATCATTCCAGAACTTATGAAAGTACTTGAATTAAGCCAAGCACCTCTTTCCTTAGCAGTCTCTCAAACTACTTATCGTACGTGTCCATAGTTGTAATGCAATGCCGAGATTCGTTAGTCGTCTCACTTCTCCATCTATAAACTCTCTCTTCGTGATCAGATATACCGTGGAAATATTCACTTGGTGCCATTCGATGATGTATAGACGACATGATTACGAGCGAGCCATCAGAAATTCCGACGCGCACTTTGGTTTTCTCGGTTAGCTTCTCCATCTATAAACTCTCTCTCTCTCTCTCTTCGTGATCAGATATACCGTGGAAATATTCACTTGGTGCCATTCGATGATGTATATAGACGACATGATTACGAGCGAGCCATCAGAAATTCCGACGCGCACTTTGGTTTTCTCGGTTAAGTATCAGCTAGTCTCGTTCCGTTAGGCCTTCTCGTTACCTTGCCGCGGGCAGTAATTTCGACGACGATGTCGTCGTCATCGTCGTTATATTCGCACAAATGCAACTAGTTCATCTGTTAATGTGAACCATGAGTCACGGTTGAAATAAATTACCAAAGCATGTCGTGCTGGCATGCTTTCACGAGGAGTTACGAAATTATGGTGCTGTACCGTGACGAAGATCCACGTCATCGATATAATTACATGCCTTACAGATTTTTTATTCCTAATATCCTTCTACGCTCGTATGCGCAACTATATTATACTTCCGCGCGATATATCTTCTCAATAAGCAAGAAACATTTTTAAACGTTGCAGCAATGTTGCTGCTGAAATGTTCCAAAATGTGTTTTGTTTTCTGAGCCAACACCTCAAGATTTTTCTTGAGGATACGCGAGGAGGATACGAATATTCGTGTAATTTTAAATCTGGTTTACCGTAAGGTCCTTCAAGTTTTTGATTTTTCATCACTTTTCGGTTGGCGACCGTGAAAATATATACGAGTAAGTAACGTCAGATTTCCGATTGCACTTAATTGCAGAGCCCAGACGCTGGAGCGCAGCGGATGTGGCGGCTTGGGTACAGTGGGCCAGGCGGCAATTGCAATTGCCTTCGGTGCCTATGGAGAGCTTCAACGTGGATGGTGCGACGCTGGCCTCCCTCACGGAAGAAGAATTCTGCCAGAGAGCTCCCCAGGTCAGCTCAAATATATACCTTCCTTAGGACCTTTTTAACCTTTTCATGATACTGTCAATGAGACACAGAGATCACGTTTCAAGAATTATTAACATTTTTTTTTTATTATTTATCATTTTTCCTTGGCAGGAAATATCTTATCCAAGTGAAAAATTACCTTTTTTGGTAATTTTCTCATTTTCCGTTAAATATCTTACGCGCAATAATCAAATCTGTTTGTTCGAAAGATTCTGATATACAAAGTCTCTCTCTCTCTCTGATTAAACGGGGAATAAGATTTCGTTGTTTACTTCTATTTTCTCGACAGCTTCTCGCGACAGAATATTTAAATGTAGGTAAATTATGTAGATACCTGTATCCAGACATCGCTTTTAACCTCCGAGCAAAAAAGAAATTGCTCAAAACATTACAAAAAAAACATTACAAAAAAAAAACATTAAATTGGTATTCTTTATCTTTACATTTTATCATGTCCGACTTTTATTTTCTCGTACACTACCGACTACGTCAAGCGCATGCACGACTCACAACTTTGACGTGTACCGTTACGCAATGCCTTGCGTCTGCGATGATCGACCTCGTCGCGCGTCGTAGGGATCACCGTACGTATTTACGTGCTTTCGACGAATCAATCAGCCGCGTGATTTTCGAAATGATTTTATTTTACGTTAACGTAAGAAGGTCTGAGGCAAGAAAAAAAAACACTTAAATTTACGTATGGGTTTTTTGCATGACATTCTCTCCGTATTGTAATATGGATGCTCGATGATGTTAGCAACAATAATTAAGTGCAGATACTCAATCCTATATGAAAATGTATTCTTATCTGCCTCATTGATATCATTGGATTTTTTATGGAACTTATCTCTCGTCACGTCGCGGAAATTTATAATAGATTTTACATTTATCGCGATAATTGTCGTATAATATGTTGCGTCTATTTTGTTCAAAATTTCGATTTTCGATAGTAAAGATATTTTCACAAGCAATCACATATTTAAAATTAAATTACTGTACTTATATATATATATTTCAAGAGTGATTAATTTTTAATAAATGTCAGTACTTATCAGTGACGGTAAAACGTAATGTAATAATAACAGAATGGATGTGAATCGGTAAATTCATGTTTCAGTGAAATTATGGCAATTAAGTTTAAATTTGACATCCAAAAAAGTTACACGCAATCGTGAGCGTAATTTTAACTTTATCCTTTATTGTCGTAACAATTCGCGATCGTTGAAGAAACCAGGACCGGGACTTGAGAAATGTCCGTTGCCAAGATCCGGTGAAAGTGAATTTCCTAGTAATCGATGCGCGTTTATGTCCCTTCCGCGTAATCTGTGCCTGAAGAATTAGTGGTTGAGAATATACCTACGTTATTCAAGATTTCGACATAACGTAACAGGATCGGAATTCCCCAAGATGATTATCTGACGCGTGAAAGTTACACGTTTGTGTCAGGAATACGATTTCAGGAAAGAGGCCCTTAGGATTGTTCAAGATTATCGTTTCGTTTTTCTCTTATTAACCTCTTCTTTTTTATCTCATTGAAACTCACTCGTGTATCATAATCTGATATTAACGATATTCACGACGTTGATATAAGTATCAACGTGAAAATTTAAATCAAAATATAAATTTTTACATAATTATCCCCCAGTCTTGTTTTGAATGAAATACTATTTTATATTGTCATATACGGGATGTCCCGTGAAGATTGTAACAATCGGGGTAGATTTAAGGATTTAGATTCCTGAAATCATTTTAAGACAAACATTCTAATATCAAAACATCGAGGCTATAATAATTTTTGAATTATAAGCATTTAAGTTATACCGTCTAAAACTTGTTAATTGTCTAAAAGCTAATTATCGCCTCTTACTAATATCGATATAAAGATTACATATGTAAAAATAAAATTATTCATGTTTCTAATTATTAATATTTATTATATTAAAAAATTATTGTAACCTTGACATTATTACGGTATTAAGATTTTCATCTCAAAATGATGCCAGAAATCTCCCTGTATTATTACGGCCTTTACGGAACACCCTGTATGACAAATACCTTTGTCGTGCAATCTTAAATAGAGTATATTTGCGAATCAAAATAAACTTTCTTACTATATAGTAAAAAATTAAGTAAAAAAGTAAAATTTGTTATAAATTTTTATTTTAAATAATAGTTTGTAAAATAATAAGTTATACTGAGGTATTTTTTTCGCAAATCTCAGGACATTCCGTATAATAGTGTCAATATTAATTTTGATTACAGTATGCATGTCTAGCGCACATTTACACTATAAATGCAATTTTCTACCTTGTAAATGTCTGACTTAAAAATATGTGATTACAAGTACCGTGGTACTTTTTGATTAACACATGAAGTAACAAGGTACTATTAATGATCAGTTGTTTGACGAATCAAAGTATGAAATTATCTTTATGAATATATTATTATTCGAAAAGAACTGAGAAAATAACAAATTACGACGGCTTCTCTCTGCTGGCTTTTCCGATACTTGTGCATACAAGCTGCATTAAATCGCTTATTAAGTAACAAGTTTTATATCCACGGCATCGAGCGTGCTAAAAACCGGTTGCGTGCCAATATTGATTATACCTATCTGTCGACTGCAGTTATAACCCTAAACTTGACAAAGCTAAGACAAGAAAGTGAATTTGACGTTGCATTATAAAACGAAGTGTCATTTTAACCAATTGGTTTTTTTTTCTTTTCTAAAAAGTGTAATCTTTTTTTACGGTTACTGTATATTCGTTGATTATTTTTCATCAGTATCAATGATTATAATAAAATAGGACGAAAAGGAAAATACATTTCCTCGCTTCATTACCTAAGAATTAATTGTTTCTCCACCATCTTGCTGAGTTTGTTGAAGAAAAACAGGAAATATCAAAGTCAGTTAAGAGCCTGAAACATAATCAATGTGCCGTATAAACTATGTGCCGGATAATTATGTTATGTTTTTAAATCCAATCAAGTAAGCATAAATAGGTAAATGTTGCGGAGTCTCGTCGATCGATGCGATGCGCATCTTATTATTCGAAGAGAATTACAGGCGTAAGTCTAACGGAAATTAATAGCGAGAGAAGAGTATAGAGTAGCTGTGTATATATGAGACGAGCAGCGGGGAAGTAGTCATGCATAATGGATTCCGCTTTGCGTCTAGTAATTGGATAATCGCGAATGGATAGTTGCGAAGTACCACTTCGGTAGTTCTCGTAGCGTGGAATCATGGTCAGACTTATGGTCACGTTCTATCTGCGATGCGATCTCGCGCCAAGTCCTTTCCTCGTTTGTTCGTGCTTCGTTGATGCGACGCCGCGACGCGATCCACGAGTTTCTTTCGCGGACTTCATTCATGGTTCAACTCACAAATATTACGCGCACGCGTACTTTATATCGTCCGCGTAAAGGTTTATCCGGCCAATTTAATTTTACAGCTTGTAAGCGCGATAGGTATTTAATCGTATATCTTTCTTTACAAAATTGTCTACAATTTTTATTACGTCGAGTTTTTTTAACCTTTTTTTAAATCGAACGATAAAAGATATCGAAAATGTCGAAAAAGGTGAAAAGAGCAGAAAATTGGATTGCATTTAATGAATGGCGTTTAATGCTGACGTGTAACGTCCCCGCGGACGAGTCATGCCACGTTCGCTTATCGACTCCTCGAGGAAATAATTACGGCATTCTTTGCGGTTTGGCATCGCGTCTTAATGGCAGCGATTATCGATACGCGAGAATATTTGTTTCTCGGAACATTGCAAAGTATTCAAGTATGATTGCGCCGCTGAATGAGGCATAAGAATGTGCTGCGCACAGATTACATTGGCAGATTGAAGGAAATGCTTGGTTAATATAAGCACTACGCGATTTCTAATTTCAACAATTAAATCTTGCAAATAATCGTTACATATTTGGAATCGTTGCTTTGTAATAACAGCTATAAATATTGCTCCAATATAGCTCGAGATGAAATGATTGACGAACGAGCATCGCGCAGATAGGCGACGAGAATGTAACGGCGAATGGCGATGCAGAATAACCGCGCGTCCGAAATGAATGTGCGTGCGTACAAACCACTTGTTGAACACTCATTCCAAGATCAGCAGGATCGGCATCGGCTTCACCGTGCCTGCCTACCGGCCTACCGGTGCGCGCCATTGGCTCGTCATCGAGAAGTGGGTCAACCGCTCGAATGTCTTGCCTGTTGCGTTGCGTTGCGTTGCGTCGCGTCTCTCTCAACGCGGAGGAGCCGCTTTCTCTTCTCTCGCGTGCACAACGATTCTTCCATTGGAATTCTAACGCTCCTAACGCGCTCTTCTGTCTCTCTTTTTCTCTCTTCTTCTTTCTCGCGTCTATTCTTTCCTGTGCTCAGCTTTGATTATTTTTTATCGTCCCTATATATATATATATATATATATGATCTTGAAGGCAAGTTAAGTTTAGGTTCTCAATATATGTATAACATAGCTAATATTTTGATATTATGCATAATATGTAATAGATTGCGTTTCATCTGTTTAGAGCATTGATGTGCTATTTGATGCGTATAGACGCCGCTTTATATAAAACGTCGAAGCTACGGATAATTATGTTAATTATATCCGATTAATAATGCTGGTACGACTGTTTATATTCAAGTGCGGGAGCATGCTGCACGCACAGTTGGAGATCTGGAAGGCCGCCGTCGAGGAATCACCACGAAACACTCTAGCCGCTTCCTGGACTCCCACGGGAGTAGTTCAGTCTCCAAACAGCGCCGTGACTCCGACAGTTGGAAATACAATAGTTGGCCTCAAGGAGTCTCCCTGCACTATTGATTTCTCAGATGGTATATTATACATGCTTCTTCTATCATTTAACGGACCATTATTTTTATCGAATGGTAAACTCGTTTAACGAAAAAATTAAGTGGACTCGCTTTATTTTCTTGCTTGATTCCATAGACATAATACTAATAAACTGCGCATTCCTATGGAGTTGTCACTTTGGTTTAGAAAGAGTAAGACAGACCTTGAATCACGTATCGGTCTCTCTCTCTCTCTCTCTCTCTCTCTCTCGCTCCTTCTATTTTTATTTTATTTTATTTTATTTTATTTTGACTAAATTCTTTAAGTTTATTACATACATTCCTTTCTTTTGTCTTTCAATGTAATTAATTTTCTTTAACTTTTGCAAGTTTTTTCTTCCTTATATATTCTTTTTGCTTCAATTTATTTGGTGTTAGAAGGCCCAGCTTAGTATATGATAATAAATGTTTCTTCTTCCTTTTTCTTTCTAAAGTATTACATTGAAAAGAGACGCTGATACGTTCGACTCTTTCTAACGGAGTACAGATGTTAAGATGTCAGCTAGGGAATGCGCAGTCTATACCTGTTATAGCTAAAGAGGTTGTAATGAGAGAGGTTATAATTACATTGGCTCTTTACTTGGCTTCACGCGCGAGTAAAATGTAACGCAACGATGCCAAGTTGACAAAACGCAATTAATTCACTCCTTGCGTTCTCACCCTTGATTCTCTGTCGGGTGCAGACGAGGATGAGGATTGCGCTTCCGCTCAGAGCAGCGGGAACGATGACAACGGCGGCGCGGGCGGTAAGATGCGCAACGGCGGTAGCCACATTCACCTCTGGCAGTTCCTGAAGGAGCTGCTGCAGAGTCCGGGTGTCCACGGCTCCTGCATACGCTGGCTGGATCGCAACAAGGGGGTCTTCAAGATCGAAGACTCGGTGCGCGTGGCGCGACTCTGGGGCAAGCGAAAGAATCGGCCCGCGATGAACTATGACAAGCTCAGCCGCAGCATCCGACAGTACTACAAGAAGGGCATCATGAAGAAGACGGAGCGTAGCCAGAGACTGGTATACCAGTTCTGTCATCCTTATTGTCTATAAGGAACGTTTCTCCGTCTCTCCCTCTCTCTCTCTCTCTCTCTCTCTCTCCCCCTCTCAATCTCTTTTCCTTTGTGCGAGTAGGCGCACGTGGTCTCTGGAGCGAGTGACCTCAACAAGAGCCCACCAGCACAAAGATCGAAAGGTAAAAAAAGGAAAAAAAAACGAAATAATGATCCGCCATGCTCGATATTATCCCGACGATAACACCGAGCCACGGCCGGGTCCGCTTAGTACGCCCATTTTGGGCGATCACTTTCGCCTTATGTTTATTCCCTTCTTTTCCCACTTCCCTTTCACTTTCCCTCTCTGTCTCCCTCCTGTGCGTACGTACTTGCGTCTTCGCGTTTTCTTTTTCTTTTTTGTTTTTCTTAATAATACTGTATTAACTGTATATGTGTAAGCACGCGATTTTCTACCGGGTCGGTCTTTCGTTTCGACGAAGCTCTTGTCGCGAGGTGAAGACGCGAGCGGGTGGAAATTTGCCAGAGAAAAGGGAAGAAATGACTCTTTCCTCTCTATTCTCACAATCGCTTGTCGGCACCAGTTCGTCGGATCCTCGAGCTGTCTAATAATGTACGCGATACGTCGACGGGACGCACCACACTCAGCGCGCGGAACTATTCGTCGCAACTTCATTCCGCCGTTTCTCGATATGATAACGATCGGAGATTGAAATTGTCTCGGGAGATTATCTATTTTTTATACGCGAAAAAAATTTTTCTAATCGTGCACGCGCCTTGACCTCGTCGTCCTTCCCTACTGCGTCGCAAACGAGCAAAAATATCAGGGTTGCTACAAAACTGGAAATCATGAAAATCGGGGAAATATCAGGGACATTGAAAATGGTTAGAAAAATTAGGGGAAAGTCAAGGAATTTTGCAAAATTTTCTGGAAAGTTAAAATTTTTTACCTTAAAGAAATTTAATATGCGTACACGCAAAAAAATGTTTGGTTGGATCAACTGGAATTCTGATGGAAAATGAACAATCCAGAATTTTGATTAAGTCTGGATTGTTATCTCAATTAGAATTCTTAAGAATTTAATCAGAAATCTATAGTAGACTTTATCAGAATTTTGTACATCACACCTACACGCAGTTTTGGAATACTATCGACTTTTAAATTAAATGTAAGCAACGTCAGTAACTTTAATAATAATTTACATTGCCACGGTAAATTGAGATTTCTCAACAAAAGGTTTAAAATACAAAACGAAAGAAATTGAAAATATTATTGAAAACATCGAGGAAAATGATGAAATTTTGTCTAGGAGAAGTTATGGAATAATTTATTTAGGAGGAATTTGTAACAATCCTGAAATACGGAACAAAGAAGAAACGAAACGTCAATTTGCAGGTAAAGCATGAGTAAAGCGTAATGTCGCGTGTATCTGACGGAAGATGAAAATATCTTGGTCGACGTAATCATTACCTGCTCGCGACGGGAGCATTAAGGTTAATTATATTTTTGCACATTTTACGATTGCTCTAACACGCGCGCGGAGGTGTTTATTAAGTTGTCGAGAGTGCCTTAGCACACTTTACGCGTGCGTGCGGTGGGAATCGCGATATAATGAAAGACGCGTTCAAGCCGCGAGGATTTCTGATCGGATCACGGACGATGGTCATCGCGAGAAATTTCGCGCCCGCGATCGATCGACGACCATCTCATAGATAGATCGATCGAGTCGGCTTTCCGTTCGAGAGAATGGCGGAAGAAAGAGAACAATTACGGCGCGATCGCTGTTGCGCTCGAGGCGTCTCAGACGCACGGCTGGTGCTGGTGATTTTGGTCCTATATATCTATGATATATTAAATATTGTATGTTCCATGAACGATTAGGAATTAAGATTTAGGTGCGTAAGTGTGTATCGGGGTCTCACGTGAGTCACCCTTAAGTTACTTCGAGAGATTTTTTTTCTTTCTACTCTTTCCCAGGGAGAACAAGAAAGTCAAAATAATGTCATAATATTGACCGAAACATGGAAAAAATAGCATTAATTTGGTCAATAATCGGCCAATATGACGTCAAATTGACATTATTTGCACTTTTTTGTTCTCCTTGAATTTTTTTCTCTTCTCACATTTTCTTTTCTTGCTGTAACGTCCACGCGATCGCGATTGCAATGTCGATCGCATCGATTTTTTATGCTTATAATTCGTAAGTGGCTCTCATGCATTTTTATACTTCATCTTTTTTATTCTTTATTCCTTTATAGTAAGTTTGGATTAATTTTCAGATTAACAGAAATTTCATTCCTCTGCGCAAATTATCGGGAAATTGGGTTATTCTTGTATCTTTCTCTTCTTTCGCTTTCTGTTATATATGAAATACTTTTTTAAAATATTTTAATAAGTTATTTGCGATTTTGAATTACAACATACACAAAATACAATTAATATAGAATTTCGTGCATTTTTAATTAAACATTAAGATTTTTACTAACGTTGTGTCCACGTTCGCTCACCAATCGGTTGTATATACAGATATACATATAAAACACAACTATTTTATGTATTCGTTTTTTATTTATTTAATTGAGTTTGTTTTATAATGGAAATAATAGTACAATCTGCCGTGTAATGCTTGAAGCTCTTCGGCATGCATTCCAAGCAGAACAAAAAAGTCAAAATAATGACTGAATTATGACAAAAAAATGACATAAATTCGGTTGATATTCAGTCAATATGACAATAAATTAACATTATTTTGGCTTTCTTGTCCTCCTTGGGATTCCGTTAATGCCGATTCTGTGACTGATATCGGTACCGTTTTAGTTCGCTTGTGTATATCATGGATTTAACGTTGGAGATTATTATTAGCGTGGCTGTTTCTCGGCCGTGCGAAAGTGCAATTACGTCCATGCACCTGTTAGCATTGAACTTGAATCATTTTCAGCTCGCTTTGCGCAACTGCGCAACGTTCGTTGTTCAGAATTGTGTTATAAATACAACGGCTGCGTTCATTAAAAAAAAAAGGCAGCTTTGCAACTGTTATGATTCTTTATTATGATTAATTCTTACTCTTAATTCCTTACGGATTTAAATGTACGAACCATATTAAAGAATTTTACAACAGTTACAAATCTGCTTTATCTTAATGTTATTAAAGAATAATCACTCGTCGTAAATATTATTTCATGTCGAACAGCATTAAGGAGGTTGCAAGGAGAATGCAATATGTTAAGAATTGCTTGAAATTTGGAACATGGCTTTATCTACAAAGCATGCTTTTATGTAAATTTTTTCAGATTTTTTGACCAGCGCATTTTTCTGTAAATTGATAACAAAATTCTGGATTTTATAATAGACTATCTCTTTTTCTCTTATAGGAGACTCGATTCTATGTATCTGTTTTCAACAAATATTAATATTTGAAATGTTAAGAATCGAATAAATTTATGTTTAATATATTAAGTATAGCATATTAAAAATGTATTTGAAGATTAAAACAACTTTTACCACTCAGTTTATTAACAATAGTAAAAAAATATAACCAAAGATGTGATACTTCTGCCATTGAAACTGTTTGATGGAGAAAATGTGGCAACGTTGTTTCATCATCGCGAATCAAGAATATTCCATCAGTTGAGTAGTGCCGTCAAAGTCTCACTACAAATGCTTCGAAGCATTTGATTTACTAATTGATTTACAGAATAAAAATTGTACTAAATGATTTGTCAAAGAACGCTTCAAAACATTTATAGCGTCACGTTAACCTTATCTACCCGTCAGACATTGCTGTTACCAACTTGGATTTTTCACTTTTACACCGTTGCTAAATCATTTCTTGAGCTAAAAATATTTATTGTTCTAAAAAATATATGCTTACCTTTGAAACTTTTACACAAATAAACACTAATATTTTTTGCATTTTAATTGCATTATAATCCATATATTTCTTTAAATTTTAGCTACTTATTTCTTCAAATTTTTATGTTCAAATGTTGGCTACACTCCATATTTCTTTTGTATTAAAGCATTCCCCTCTCACTGCCCACCTTAGCCTTACAACCTCCTTAAATTAGCAAACAATTGTGCAAGAAAAAAATAATTCGTCGTCATGATTACTTTGTAAAATGTCTAGAAACAAATGCAAATCAATTTTTCTACTCGTTTATAACGACGTACTTATCTATTGCGCGTTCTGCTGTTATTATAAACGAGTAGAAAAATTGATTTGCATTTGTTTCTAGACATTTTACAAAATAATAATAATATTCACCACGAGTGATCATTCTTTAATAACATTCGGGCTGTTAAAGAATTCAAGTCTCTTGTCTTGAACGTAGTACTTAAAGCCAAAGAACATGGCGGCGTGAACGAGCGAATATACCAGATAGGTCTGTCGAGGAAATGAATTTGCTCGCGTAATTAGATCGTAAAGCTCGCTTCGGCTGTTGGATTTCTACAACGCGATACATTATTTTTTTATACGGCCTGGCATAGAACGCTCATCAAATCGGAAGTAGACCGCGGCGGGACCTCAAAACACTGTTGTTTAATGCATCTAAATTAAAATTGAGAGAAATATTAAATTACAGATATTATATATACCTATTGAGAAACAACGTTCGGATTAATTCTTTTTGTGCCTTCAATTCTTTGATGTTAAACTGATACGCTTTATCAGTATATAAATTCTGTTTGCTACTTCACGAAATTATATAATTATATAAATACATGCGACGTAAAAAAAAGTCTCTTTTCTTGATGGAATAATATGATGACTTTTATGCGATTACTAAAAGTGTCTCTCTTAAGATCGTTCGCTATCCGTTTTGTGCCAAGTTTCACCACATTCTGTTATAAATTTAACGGGGGGTAGTTGGTTCTTCAATTCCGCGATATAAAGCGCAAGGGAGACCCAAAAGCAGGAAGACAGGGGATTTATTTTCGATCGATGATAGCTGCATTATAACAGAAAGAATGCAGTTCGTTGAAACGGATAAAATCCAGGATCGCGGTTAATTTTCCGACTAGATAGAGAAACGGGAAATTATAAAATCGATCAAAATGGCGCGAGTAACATTGGATTATAGATTCTAATCGCGCGATATCATATCACAAAGCGGCCATTGTTGTGCATAACCGACTGTTTATTTATTAAATTGTTAATTGGTAAATTTACATTTTGTAAGACTAAAAGGGC